TAGGATGTAAAGGGATGAGGTTCTATTTAATACTCTGAAATTTTTGTTTTTAGGGTGGGTTTGTGTGGTAGAGTCAAAGTAAATCGTGAGAACAACTCAAAGAAAGCATTCACTCAGGCTAGAGTGCCCATCTTCTGACCCTTGCAGCTTTTAAGCCATAGGAGTTCTCTCCTCTGTCTCATTCTTCTCTCTTAGCCTTTACCGTGTGCTAAAAGACTTGCTAATCCCCATGCCTGCTGTGTGCAAGGCCCATGCACCAACCAGATGAACCTGTAGAAGTTTCTGTTTGTTTTTAGAGTAACGATTTGTGGTAATGAGAAAAAGGGCAAGGATTACAAATAGAAAGCTTGAGAACCAGTGTTCTAATCCTGCTCTGCTGCCTTCAGACAGCACTGAGCATAAATCATTCAGACAAACAGGTATTTTATCTAAAAGATCTCTTTGAGAAGATAGATTCCACAGCCTCCCGTTTGAGGATTTCTCTGTCACTGACATAATTTGGCTTTTTGTATCTGACCTGTATTCCTTCCACTAGCATTTGTGTACCTTTTCTTTCGTTATCATAGGAAATGGAGACCATCTGGCTACCACTCTCGGTATAATAGACCTGTGTGGCACATCACTGTCACTCTTAATAGTATATTCTGTTTTCACCCCATGTTCTTATATTAAAGCCTTCAAAATAATACATCACAGTCTACTTATTTTACACTAGGTGGCCCTGTTTGGCAGCTCATTTCCACAGCTGTGGCTTTCTCTTTAGAATCAAGAGTAAAGAGCGAAGTTAAAGGAAGAATGCCAATATGTATGTTTGATTTAAACCAATAAGCCTTTTTCTTATGAAAATTTACGTTTAATTATGAAAGACTGCTATGCTGAGATAGTAGAAAACATTGTGAATTTTCAAAACCAGAATTTGAGATATAGAATATTTACATTGGCTCCTGACATTGCACCAGGAATTCAGCAATCCTTTTCTCAGGTTTACAGAGAGCCCTAATTGGAGCATTCTTAATTATTTCTGTTGATTTCAAATTAAACTTTTGACTTTTAGGAGAGGAATTTTTAAAAAGAGTTGTTAAGAACAGTTAGTACCTGGTAAAATTTAGAGTTTTTAGGACAGTTAGTGGACAGAACAGGTATCTGGGACATTTTGCATTAAAGACAAACCGAAAGGAACTCCTAGAATTTTCTAGAACCCTGTCCCTGTAACTGAAGAACAAATGTATCTTGCCTAAAATTGATGATGCTATTATAGATACCAACAGCAACTAACATTTCTGGTGTGATTACTATGTGCCAGTCACTGTAATTAGGTTGTATATCATGCTAATTCTCCTAACAACCCTGTGAGGTAGATACTACTTTTCTCCATTTTGATGAGGAAACTGAGGCTCAGAGAGATTTCATAACTTAGATAGAGCAACTTAGCCAGGAAGTGTTAGAGCCAGAATTTGAACTCAGACAGCTTGGGTCCAGATCTTTTGTTTTTTACTATTATATGTAAAACAAGGCATTTTGTTTGCAAAATAATCTGATAACTGTCTTGTGTTCATTTGGATACTTAATGTTTGTTTTTGAGACTTCCACTAAAAAGTAGAAATAAAATTTTTCCTCTTTGTAAAATAGTAATTTATAACATCAACATCTGCAGGCTTTCCAGCTTCATGTCTTGCTCCCATTTAAGTCTTTTCACCAAAATGATCTTTCTAAAATAAAAATTACCTTGCCACTGGCCCCATTTGACATCTTTTGGGATTCTTCATCCCCTTCAGGAAAGTGGAGACTTCCTTACATCACCTGTCACCCGCTGCTTCACCTCTCCCTCACTTGGCTCCAATTTCTCCTCCAGGTCTGCCCAGCAGTTACCTTGCAGTGTCACAGCCCCTTGTGTTTGCCACAGCTGTTCTCTCTTCCTGAGTAGCCCTTACCCACCTTTTCCCACTGGCTGACTCCATCTTTTTCAGTTCTGATTCTGTGTTCATCAGACTCTGCCTACTTTGATTTTTTCAAAAGGCATGTGTCCAGGTTACAAATTCAGAAGTTTTGCTTGTCTTGGTTCTTGAAAGGCGCCTGGTCACCAGCATCCCAGAAGCACCTAGTGATTCTGGTAGTACAGCCGGGTGGACGAGCCCCCACATGCCTTTACTCAGGGATCAGCTCTCCAGGAGGCCTTCCTGGAAGGCCAAGGTCTAGAGGAGCGTGTGCCTGTGGTCTCTGATGGCACTGAAGCCACTCAGTGCATTGTACCAGCCAGTCTGGGTGTCACTTCTGCAGAGGGTGTCAAGTCCCGAGGGCAGCAACAGGAAGTTGCTCCTCTTAGAATCCTCAGCTGTCAGCACAGGGCCTGGCGTGTAATCGGCCTCCACTGCTGGGACACTGAACTGCTGTGACTTTAGAAGGTTTTCTTTCTTGCTGATTCCCCTGGATCCCATTCTTTGGCAAATAACATGATACATTATGAAGTACAGTTCAGCAAAGGACAAGGATGAAAGTTGTTGTTTAAAGATCTACCATTCAGACTTTCTTGTCTAGGTAAAGAGCAAGGCCTTATCTCTTTTCATCTCATCTTCTAAATTTAAGCTGACTGTAAAAATACGGCTGATTTATAGCTTCCTTCTCCCCCACTGATATTTGGTTCAGGCTCTGGGTTTTTGGCAAGAGCTTATAGATCTCACTTTCTATTGGCCACCCTGCTGCTTTAAGACCTGTCAGGGCTCGTGTGAAATAAAACTGGAAGCATTTCCATCCTCACTGCTTTCTTCCTTCCCATCAGACAGCATTACTGTACCTCACTGAGGAGCCCAACCCTGGGAGGTGGCAGCTGGGGCCTGGCAACCAGTAATGTATTATAATGTGTGTGTGCTCATGTGTACACTGGGCTTGCTGGTTCTGAGGCATGAACATTCCACATACATGGCCTGAAGAGTTTTCTTCCTGTACCAAAAGCATGTATTCAGAGAGGACCCAACTTGCCATATTACCAAAATAGCACTCCTGTTCCCCCATGGCCTTTACTAGAATGTCTCCTCCCATTTGAAATCCAAACCAAAAAAAGATATATCCCTTTCAACTCAGTTGTTCTATGATTACAAGATATTAGGATATTCAGTTTGGGGGCTCCATATTGGTTGGGTCTTCTATTAATAGTATGTGCCAGGCCTTTTTAAGTTTGAGCTCCTCCATGGATATTACTTTTTTTTTTTTTTGAGCTGGCGTCTCACTCTGTCACCCAGGCTAGAGTGCAGTGGCACACTCATGGCTACCCAGCATTGACCTGCTGGGTGCCAGCGATCCTTCTGCCTCAGCCTGTAGCCAGAACTACAGGCGTGCTACCACTCCCGGCTAATTTTTTATTTATTGTAGAGACAAGGTCTTGCCAAGTTGCCTGGGCTGGTCTCAAACCCGCAGGCTCAGGCAGTCCACTCGCCTTGGCAATCTACTTGCTGGGATTATAGGCTGAGCCACCGAGTCCCGCCTGTGGATATTAATTTTAATGAAACACTGTATTGAAGAAAAGATGGAGTTAAGGGGGAAATAGGAGGAGGAAGGGAAGCAGAGACAGGCAAAGAGTAATAGTCTAAAACTCAGCAGCAGGCATGGCTTATGAAGATCAAGTTATATTTCTGCTTCATGAATCATTGTCAGACAAATTAAGAACATATTGTTTCTTATTTATCTATTGTCAAGGATTCAATATCAGACATTGAGAATAAATCTTGATTTTCATAAGCTCTGTTGACACTGGAGCCACAGAGCATAAAACTTGCATGTAATCAACAAAGTGCAGCATGGAACAGCAGGGGGTAGAATACCAGCAACAACTCACAGCTGCTTCCTGTGTCCCTGTTTTCAGGAATGTTTCTTAGCAGGATGTTTTTAATAGACCAGGAATTTGTCCTATATGTTGTAAGAAAGGTTGTAGTTTTAGATGCATTATTCCCCCCAAATCTTAGGGATCGGGGATAATTACGTTCAGTTTTTGTTTGGTGAGTTCCCCTTTTTGTACCTGCCTGCTTCCTCCCTGGCCACCTCCCCATTTCTCCCCTAGTAAGTGGTTAATGAGTGTTAAATGCCTAAACAGTGTAGTTTTATGGATACCTCTATGATAGATCGATTGCATAGTTTTCATGTCATCTCTAATGTTGGATAGCATTTGGAGGAGTCTTAGCTATCTAAAATTCCTAGTAGAAATTTTTGTGTTGCATTCCTGAAGTCAAAATACAAAAGTTATATTTTAATATGTTTATAGATAAAAGATATCAGTATGAAAAACTGAGACTCAGGATAGATAGTGTGAATAATAATAATAATGAAAATAATAATAATGAAAGTTAAAATGTAAATCAATAATTTAAATCTTTTCAATAATACTTAACTTTAGCATCACTCCTCTAAATCCTATAATGTCAAAATTAGCATCAGAACTATGAAACCTGAAGCTTATTGCAGACTTTAAAAAAAATGACCCTTTAAAACTAATGGACAGTGACATAAACCTGGCCAAGCTTACCTGGTCCAGGGTTGGGAGGATTGCTTACATAAGGGTACGAGAGTTTCCTTTAGGTGATGGAAATGTGTAAGGTTTTTAAAACTCATCTGACTATACACTTAAAATGGGTGTATTTTATTGAATATATGTTATACTTCAATAAAATTGATTTTTAAAACCGAATGCTTCCTCGTTTAGTAGCATTAAATTTAATAGAAGCTATGATATTATAGCATTCCCCAACCCTGCCCCATTGCTGCTGAAGGAGTAAATGAGCTATATAAATGGCAGTTAGGTAAAATTCAGGATAGCAGAGCAGATTATGTTATTAAGAAGAGGCGAGAAGTGTGTGAGCAAGTCACTGTCATCTGAGGGTAATGGTTGACTGTCACTTTCCTTGGGGTCCCTGTCAGTGAGATGCTCTCAGGCTGGCTAGGTCCAGCACAGGAGCAAGCGAGAGACTCAAAGTGAAATGCCTTCTCAATGTACCCCAATTCCTTTTGGGCAGCTGTTGCGAAGCTCTTTGGTGAATAACAGAACTCAAGCCAAGGTAGCAGAGGAGCTGGGCATGCAGGAGTATGCCATAACCAACGACAAAACCAAGAGGCCTGTGGCCCTTCGCACCAAGACCTTGGCGGACCTTTTGGAGTGTGAGTCCTACAGAGTAAAGCTTTTCTCTCAGCCTGCCTGATCAAAGTTGAAATCCAGTTGACCAGTGTTTTTGCTCCTTCTTCTCCTTATGTTCTGGCTAAAGCAAACATTTTCTGTTTTAATTTTTACTTATGCTTTTCATCAAAGCTTTTCCAAGGAAGAATAATTTGGAATTAAGACATATGAATAATAGATTTTATGTTCAATCTATGTTTAGTGGTATCTGCAGACCCCCATATCCGTCTATTCTAACACTCAGTCATTACACCCCTTTGTGTGAAACAGTAACAGAATATGAAGGTCATTAATTGTGAATCATAGCCTTTTTATCACCCAGCAGCCTCCATATAGAGGCACAGAAGAAAGAAGGATAATATATTCAGCATTTAATACTAAATATATGCTAAATATTAAAACTGTTATCCATTGTTTTGAATGAGCGCAGAGCTCTGTGGACAAGTGTCATCTTTTGCAGTGTCTGATATGGTCTAGTAGCATTGTAAATAATCCTATTAAAGCTAACTAAAGGATTATGCACATAATTGTATTGTTTTTGATATTACTTCAAAATAAGTGGGTCAGTCGCTGGGCCTTAGAACTTTTTTTAATGTTATGGTGTTTTCAGTAGGAATTATATTCAAATATCAAAGTCTACCATGCAAAACCAGCTCATTTACAAAGTGCAAAGGCATTCTGACCAAGGAACTTAAAAAAACTACTTTTTCAACTTAAGAAAAGCAATATGAAGATGAAAATTACATAAAAATTGAGAGATCAGTCTCACTGGCATTTTTTTAAAATTCAATGAAAGCAGTTTTTATTCCTTGTTTAAAAAAATACACCATTTATTTGCTTGGTTATGGTACCCCTTAACAAAGTCATCTTAGGGGTCATCACTTATTAATGCAAAATTGGATAGATTTCTATGTTGTCATTCAGCCCAGTATTAAGTTTTTCTTTATATGGGCAGATTGAATCTTTACATTATCCCATTTCTGTTGATGAAATTTCACATGGAACCTTTATAAATGGCTGATCTCCTCAAGGTTGGTGTGAGAATGGCAAGACTCAAAAATGTGCTCATTCTGGATCATATCTGATCGTCAAACTGTATTTTGATTTATTTGATGTTAACATGGTTGTGTTCTCAGATATTATTCTTTTCCTGCTATATAACTGCGTTTTGTGTGTTTTTTAAATTAACTGTTCATTCAACCCTTAGTTAAATGCGCTTTGGTCTTTGGTACTCTATGATTTGCATCTCACATGTCTGTGTTACTGCTTCTAATATTAGTGATAAAAAGTGGAGTCATGTTTGAAGAAAGATGAAATGGTAGTGCTAAATATAAAAATGCCTGCCAGTTGAAACCCCTATTAAAATGTTGCTTTTAAAGTATAAGTCTCTTGCTTTTTCTTGTAAATGGCAATGAATTGTGGTTTATTTTTAATGTTCTCTTTTTTTTCCCCAGCATTTATTGCAGCACTATACATTGATAAGGATTTGGAATATGTTCATACTTTCATGAATGTCTGTTTCTTTCCACGATTAAAAGTAAGCTCATATAAAGTTTAAATGAGTAGTCTGCTTTATGTTTGGTGATTCCAGAACTCATTACTCAATACCTTTTGGGGACTTACCACAGGAGTTCATTCTGAATCAGGACTGGAATGACCCCAAATCCCAGCTTCAGCAGTGTTGCTTAACACTTAGGACAGAAGGAAAAGAGCCAGACATTCCTTTGTACAAGTAAGTACTTGCTGCCCACAGACCATTTGCTCCAGCATGCTTAGAGTTGATTTCCTGTGTGCATTGAGGAAAAAAGAATCATTACGTGGTGATAAGAGCCTAGGATGGAGGCTTCCTCAATGTCACCGTGACTCTGGGTCCCACACAGAAACTCTTAGGGCCTCTTGGTCTTAGCTGTAAATAAGTGGGCCCCATTCGATTATCTCCATGCTTTCTTCCATTTTCAAAATGCTCTGTGAAATATTGCCTGGTAGGAAGACATACTAAGATTATGAGCTCAAGATGAGAAAATTCTTATTAAGCAGTTTTTCTATACATTTTTATATTGTTTTCTTACTTCTTGTAACCTCTCCTCTGCTGTGCTGTGCATCCAGTTTAGAAGATCATGTGTTCCTATTTGTGCCTCACTGCACATTCCCTCGAACCCCTGTTGACTTTAACCTGGAACTTTTCTTCTCAGAATGTGTATCAAAAACTTCCTTTGAAGGGTAGCCAAAAGTCATTCCAAAGGCATGTAGGTATATAGTAGGTCACTATGCCACATTATACCCATTTTGATTAAAATAAGAAGTTTGGTAGACAGTTATGTTGAGACAGTCATAGGTTGGTTCAGAAGATGGTTTCAAGGAGGAATTACAAAATGAAAGGATTGTTGAAATAGTTGGGTCACATCTCAAGGTATTATGTGGGTATGTGATTTTAAGGATGTCTAAAGATTTAGTTTCAATACCGTTTCACCCCATGTGGATGCACACACGCCTGCAGGCACACACATTGTGTGTGTTCCATATGGAATAAAAGCTCACTTTGGACTTCCTTAAACTTAAGAATACTCACGGAAAAACATTAGAGTGGCAGTTAGGAATTTTAAATTCTTTTTCATGTTTTTACTTAATAGCTACAACACTTTATAGGCTTTTTTGCTAAAATAAAAACTAAGGCCAAGAAAAGAGGTTGAGTCACCTCACAGCAAGCTACTATAAATTGTTCCAAGAAGCTGTCACTGCTAAACAATGTTTCCTTTATTTGTTCAGGGGGAAAGAAAACCCAAATGTTTAGAGATAGCACTTTAATATGTACCTAATAAGCATAATGAATATCTAAACTGTATTATACGAAAGGCTCAAAGCATTTCCTCATCAAAGTGATAATTAAGGTCCAATAAATAAAATGAAGACGATAAACTTCTCATAGTGCAGGCACGATTACTATAATAAGCACTACCTTAAAGAAGCCACTGTGCACTTTTATCCCATGGAGTGTATAAACACAAAGGAAATTGCTGTGCTCCCCTCTCATAAATCCCCCAAATGAAAGTACAAGATGAGTTTGTTCTTTCTTATCAAGATGATGGGCTTGTTTTACATAGTTTTGCAAGATTGCTGTGTTCATTCCATTATCTTTGTTGGCTACTTTTAATTTCCCTTTTCCATGAAGTTATCTGTTTTATTGCATTTGAAATCTGCACCATGTCATTAAAATCCAGAATACCTGGAGCTTTGTTTTTTGGCAATTGTATTGTGTACTTGGCATTATAATGTACCTTTGAAATGATCTCAGATGTTTCAGAAATTAAGTACATTTTCTGATCTTTTAGATAAGACAGAATCCATCAGAAAGAATCCATAAAGGATGCAAAACCATTCAGGTGTGACTTGAGATGTATTACCCAGATATTTACTGTTTGGGGCTGTGATTAGCACTAAAAAACAATAGGCAGATTGAAGCTGTTAATTTTTCGTGGTAAAAGGTTGTGACTCTTATAAAACTTGGAGTATGCACACTTAGAAATTATTTAAAAATCTTTCACACTTCACTGTTAGCCATTTTTTTTTTCTGAGTCGGAATCTCACTCTGTCACCAAGGCAGGAGTGTAGTGGCGTGCTCATGGCCACCACAGCCTCAACCTGCTGGGCTCAGGCAATCTTTACACTTCAGCCTTCTAAGTAGTTGGAACTATAGGCGTGCGCCACCAAACCTGACTAATTTTTGATTTATTGTAGAGACGAGGTCTCACCAAGTTGCCCAGGCTGATCTCAAACCCCTGGGCTCAGGCAGTCCTCTCACCTTCACCTCCCAAAGTGCTGGGATTACAGATTTGAGCCACCACACCTGGCCTACTGTTAGCCTTTAGATGCTACTTATATTACTTTGGGGAAAACATATAAAAATCCAGCCCAGAATTTTAAAAATTGTGTCTTTCAAAAGCTCTCTATATTTGTCAGTTTAACAAATCAAAAACTTACTGCTTTTACTTTTCTGCCATTTTCACTACTTTCTCTGTCTAGACAGTAAGTACCATAGTTTTTCTCATGGTAACATAATAGCCATAACAAATGACTCTTTACTATAATTTACCATAACTCTTTTCTTCCCCCCTCAGGACTCTGCAGACAGTGGGGCCATCTCATGCTAGAACCTACACTGTGGCTGTTTATTTCAAGGGAGAAAGGATAGGCTGTGGGAAAGGGCCAAGGTATGAGAAGAAAAATACTTGTAATTTCTTTGAATTCCTTAACTGGTATTCCAAAACTCTGCAGTCTGTCTTTTTAACTTAGAGTGTGCAATGCTAGAGGACAATAGCAAAGTGAATTTCAAGGATTAATATCCCCACGTTAATTGTCTCAAAACCAAGCCCCAAATTTGATACTCAACTTTGGATTGTGGGAATGCCATTGTGTAAGGAGCTTTGGCTAACTTGAGAAAATTACATTACCTGGTGCATAGGTAAGATCTGCCCAGTTTTAGGTACTCAGTAGAGTGCGTATTGATGCAAGCTAGACATACAAGATGTGTCACGTCAGACATGACACAGCCATGAGACATTTCGTTTCTTGTCACTACTCTCTTGAGCTTCATGGAAATGCTAAATCTTTAGGTGAAAAGAATTATGTATGTTATCACCTTTCTTTGAACCCTCCAATCTATATCTTAAACTGAGAAATGATTTGAAGCCTGTCTATATATTTATTCTTTTCCTCTTTAAACTTAACACTGAAGATATTCAAACTTAAGTATGAAGTACTTCAGACCTAATATAAATGGAAGACATTTTATTGCAGCATTAAAAGTGTAGAATGAATAACTTAAACAGGCTTTGTGCAAATAAATGACATTTCTGCATGCTCTTGTGCATATTCCTATCTGTGCAATTCAGTATGTGACAGTAGAAGTAATCAGATGAAATTTTATGCATCAAACATGAAAATCAGCCCGAATAATTTGTGTCCAATACCTTGTGTTTCTGAAGAAAAAAATCTTTAATTTAAAGTGTAACTTACCTTTGTTTTATTTAATAGTATTCAGCAAGCGGAAATGGGAGCAGCAATGGATGCACTTGAAAAATGTAAGCCTATCTCTTTTTCTATAATTATATGTTCATAACATAATGAGTGTTTTATGGAAAGAAAATGAGGAAGTAGAAAAATGGTAAGTACTGATAAAATGTGATCTTGTTTTCTTCATAATTATTCTCTACACAGAGAGTAAGGCAGAATTTGAGATATGGACAAAATGGGCTTATGTTTAAAAATAAAAGTATTCCTGAGTGCCTTTTGATTTTCATTTTCCTCTTTTGCATAGAGTCCTACTCTCAGCCCAGGCAACCTGTGTGAACAGCCTATTGTATTTCTTTCCATGTATTTCTCCATACCTCCAAAATCTTATGACATAAAAGAGTATATTTGAAGGTTTTTTTCTTCTTAGCTTTTGGTCATGGTTTCATAAATGGGATATTATTTACATCTTTCTCTGCGTCTTTCTGTTTTTACTTAATAATATATCATGGGTAGCCCTGCAGATCATAGAAAATGGCTCCACTTCATTCTTTCTTAATGACTGCATAATATTTCCTGCCATGGGTGTGCTGTATTTTATCCAATTTTTAAATTCTTGGTAGACACCTTGTTTCTAGGTTTTATTTTATTTTATTTTTTAAAAATCATTGTCAACAGTAAATGTTACATATTGGTGCTTCTAGTTCTGTGAGATAAACTCCCGAGTGTGGGAGGCCTGGGTTGAAGAAACTTCAATTACATAATTGACCTTGTGGGAAACTGCATAGTCTCTTGTAAATTGAAGACTTAAGTGCAAGGGATTTTTCTTCTGAGGTCTTCTGTGCTGCACAGCAGAACCTGTGGGCACAACATGACAATGCAGTTCTATTATGCTTCAAGTACCCGATAAAAGAAGTAGGCGAGAGCAAAGTGCAGGAAGCTAGGATTCTCAGCCATGGAAGATATTCCAGGAAAGGCAAGAGGGCCAAGAGCCAAGTGGAAATCAGCAGAAAATAGCATTGTGTTGGGCGGGGTGGGGAGGTTAGGGGGAGCAGAAGCTGGTGCTGCCACGGTCCTGTGTCCGTGGAATCTTCACTAAGAGGTTCTGTTTTGTTTGTTTTAAATAGAGATGTGGGGTACAAGTGAGAATTAACTACATAACTCTGTTGGGAACGTTTTCATCCATTGTATATGTAAATGCACAATCACATATTGAAATAAAAGTGAGATTCCATTTTCTAGTTATAAAATTGTTAAAGGAGTTTTTGTTTGTTTTCAGCTATAAAGCAGTACTGGGGAGATATCCTATTCTGAGGCAGACCCCCATGTACATACTGGTAGGACAGATGCATTGTTTAAACTGCTGAAAAGCAATTTGGCAGTATGTAGCAGCTCCTTAAAGAAGTTCATACCCTTTGATCCAGAAATTCCATTGCTTAGAGTCAAACCCAAGAAATAATTGGAGTTATGAACTGAAGTTCATATAGCATGATAATCGTGACAACTGGATTTATAATAGCAAAAAATAAGAATAAAACTGCATGTGTAGCAGTAGGGAAATGTTTAGTAAATTGTAGCATATCCCAGAAATGAGCAAACATTTTCTGTGAAGAAAGTTTAGTAAGCATTTTAGGCTTCCCTGATCGTACAGTCTCTGTCACAGTTACTCAACTCTACTGTTACTCAACTCCACTGGCATAGATCATATGCAAACTAATAAATGTGTGTGTGTGTGTGTGTGTGTGTGTGTGTGTGTGTGTGTGTTTCCAGTAAAACTGTTTACAAAAAGAAATGGAGCACTGTGTTTGTCCTGTGAGTAGTAGTTTACCAACCCTTGCTCTATCCAAAATGTTGTAGTATTTTGCAGCCATTAAAATAATAATTTTAAAAACCAGTGATTATATCGGAAAATACTTGTACTTTTTTAAAAAGTGTACTCATAAATACATGCCTATACTATATTTTCCCAGTTTAAGATTATTTTAAATGTTCAGATGTATAGGTATACACACATACATGTTTACGTTGTGTATGTTCATAGTATAACTTTATGAAAAAGACTAAGGATATATTCTAAAAACTTATCAATGGTTAGATATGAGTTGTGGGGCTTTTTAATGCAAATTCAATTATACAATATAATTTACTGAGAAAATAGGATTCCTTTTATAGAAACTTACTTTACAACTACAGTAACTTATTGGGATTTGATTATTTTTTAAAAAGTAATTCTGTTAAAAACCTGTGATTTACACAAAACCCAAGGAATCAATTTGATATCATTTAGGGAATAGGATTTTATTAGTTTTATTTCTAAAATACAGATGTCATGTTCCTTTTTTATTTAAAATCTATCACTGACTCTCAGACATACCAGGTCTTGCCTGAATCACCACCTGTCTTTCAGCTGCTTTTCCTACCACCCTCTCCATGTCCCTTCTTCAACCTGGAGTGAGGATGGTGTGCTGTATTTAAAAAGAGGGCAAAAGAATTAGGAACATATTATATAGTCGTTTCCACTTATCCATGGGGGATATTTGACCTCTGTGGATGCTGCAGATAAAACTGAACCCTGTATATCCTATCCTAGAGATTAACAATAGCTAATAATAAAATAGAAAATTTATAACAATATCCTGAAGTAGTAAGTTATATTTATGTGCGCTCAGTTTTGCTCATGTCCCCCTCCCCCCTTACTCTCACTTTCCTGTTCAGAATGTCTTATTTACTGTTCTCACCTGTTTGGGGACTTATGAGTGACCTTGGATATATGAAACCATGGAAAACAAAACTACTATGCATACGAGTACTTTCGTTATGCTTCATTCTTAAAACAGACAAACTTGCCTTCCCCCAAACATGCCATGCTTTCCCACATCTCAGGTTCTTCATTTGTTTGAAACATAAAGTAGTACCTCTTCCCTAGATAGACCGTTATCTGGTTGGGCTCGTAACACAGTACCACTGCTCCCTGTTAAGAGATAACTTGTGAAGTTCTCATTCACGCATGTGCCCCTGTGTGATGTTTGTTAACTATGTGTTTGTTGACTAAGTATATAAAATGGTGATTTCTCCTTCCATAGTTGATTTCTTTCTTTATTGTTACATCCAATTTATACCATAAATGACCACTGGTATTGTAAAATGTCTAAATCTTAATCAAGATTTCCATTGCATCAGGACTGTGGCACAGGGTCAGATAGAAAGCTAAAATTTAACTTTGAGTCATGTGTTTCCTTTAACCAAATAAAAGTTTTCTACTTGAGTTATTTTTGCAGTTACATCTTTGGGCCTCTGTAGAATGAATTAGACATAATGACTAAAATGTGGCCCTTTTTTGTCCATGATTTTTTTCCCCTCCTTTTTCAGAAACTTTAATTCTTGGTAAATAATGATGTGATAAAATTGAAGTTTTTGAGCTTTTCAAAAATATATGATCCCATTTCGTTGTATCCTTTGATATCTCCCTGAAAATCACTTGTTGCTAGGAGAATAATGCAAATGCACCTGGTTGAAAACATTCCAAAACTACACGTCTGTGTTTTAGCGTTTCTGTATGTTTTGGTGTCTTTTATACTCAGGTTCATGTCGGAGATTGAAATCTAGAATCAGGGATGCTGATCCAGACTCTTAATATGTCTCCGAATGGTGATGGAATACAACTATGCACATTCCTTTTTTTTTTTTTAATTTTATTTTATTATAAAGGTCTGGGGTACAAGTCAGGATTGGGTACAACTATACACATTTCATATGAATATATGTTTATATGTTTAATTTACATCAGTCTTTGTACTAGTGACTATTCTTTATTAAGTGTAAAATATATCTCCTTGTGGTAGATAACTTTCCCCAGATGGCACATCAGAAGCGATTCATTGAACGGAAGTATAGACAAGAGTTAAAAGAAATGAGGTGGGAAAGAGAGCACCAGGAGAGAGAGCCAGATGAGACTGAAGACGTAAAGAAATAAAGGCGGGCACGGAAGTGGTGGAGTATTTACTTGCTCAATAACTGTGACTTTTGCCTATTGAGACCTGGCCTAGTTTTCCTACAGACAATGAATGAAGTATACCCATTGAAATAAAATACAAAGTCAAACCGCTGTTGTTGTTTTACTTATCTGTTTTTAGCTGGATGGTCTTTATTACAAAATTTTTGATTTCTATTTAATGGAAAACTTCACTTTGGTGGATGTACAGTATTCCCTTTTATTTTGTTCTTTAAATAATAAAATTTAAGAAGCATATTCTGTGAGGAATAGATCCTGTTTTTCTGTCTATGTCTTAGATTGTGACCCAAGACTTTCAACTGACAAGTGAAAAAATCTGCTTTATGAGACATTTTGACTGTACCCTACTAGCATATATATTTTTTGAAATCTCTGAATTTTTAAACTAGATTTTTCAGCTTTCATCTGGTTTATCCAGTTCTCAGCTGTAAATATTGAACATACTCCTCTCTAAGCAGTTGAGTCTACTGTAGAAAGAATGCATTTAACATTTAACTGGCTAATGGTGGAGATGGATATTTAAGTCACATATAGTCTTTGAATCATTAGAATAAGAGAAAGTTATAATTCTAAGCTGACACCACATTTTAAACCAAGTGCTGTCACCCTGGGGTCCATAGAACCTTTAAGAAGTTTATGGACTTCAGGGAAGTCTCAGAATCACCTGAAATTGTATTCGCTTTTATGTATGTGTTTGGGATTTGGGAGGGGATAGGGAGCAGGAAGGAGGAGGGTTTATAGCTTTCCTCAGCATCTCTAAAGTGGTCCTTGCAGTAAAGGCTAACATGGCATTAAAAGACACGACATTTTAAAAAATGATAAATATGTTATTTTAAACTGAACATCACTGGTTTCTTATTAATAAAGGCAAAAACTTTCTTTATAAAATAAATGTGTTTCATTTATTACTTCAGAAAATTTGTAGTGAGCCTGTTCTAGGCTCTGGGCTACAGCAGTGAACAGAACAAACAAAACTCTAACCCTCAGGCAACTTGGGTGCAAGTGCAGAAATGCCCACAGTAGACAAGGAAGCCAATGATGAGAAATACAGCAGGAACTTGGGATGGTTACAGTTTTCAATGAGGTGTTCGGGGAGCTCTCCTTAAAAGGATATCATTTAAGTTAAGTCGAGAAGGAAGAAAAGCCATTCAGGTATCTGGGAGTGTTTCTTATCTAAATAACTTAAATTTTACATACACATTGCCAAAAATTTGAGAAATGTATTACTTTTATTACCAGGAGAAAGGAATAAATATTACTTCGAAAATGTTATGGAAAAAGTAGAAAGCATAAGCAGAAAAATAAATCACACATGATTCCATCACCCAGAGAATGTTTATATCCTGTCAGACCTTCTGTGTATGGAAATACACACATATACACATGCACTCAAGTATGTTTGAACAATAGGATACCATACTTGTGGTTCCATAGCCTTTATTTTTTTACTAATATATAATGAATATCTTTCTGTTTTGAATTTACATTTACATAATATAGTTGTTATCTTATATGCCAGTTGTGGTTATACCACAACATATTAACCAATCCAATCAAAGATATGTAGGTTGTAAGCAATTTCTTGCCATAGACAGTGCTCCACATATCTACTTGAGAGAGTGAAGTACACACACACACGAGAGCGACCTCTCTAGGGTTTCTGCAGTTGTTACTCATAAAGCTGAGGGATGATAGCTATAAGAAAAGATTGTCCTGGTGCCTCTCCTCCCCGCCGGTGATAACCAGGAAACAACTGCAGGGCAACACTAGGGAAGGAGAAGACCACTCATTTCGGAGCTATGTTTTGGGTACGTCTACCACCCCAGTGAGTACACTCTTTCTGAGCTCTTATTTAAGGAATATGAACAGCAGGTAGCAGGACTGGAAGGGGAAAAATGCTGGACTCACAGGAGGCCTTGAAAATGTTATGAGCAAAAGCAAAAAAAGGGAACTATTTTATATATTTGTTTTTGAGTTGGAGTCTCACTTTGTTGCCCAGGCTGGAGTGCAGTGGCATGCCATGCTCATGCCACAGCAGTTGCAACCTGTTGGGCTCAGAGGATCCTTCCTCTTCAGCCTTCCAAGTAGCTGGAACTACAGTACGTGCCACCATGCCCGGCTAATTTTTTATTTATTGTAGAAATGAGGTCTCGCCAAGTTGTCCAGGCTGGTCTCGAACCCCTGGAGCTCAGGCAATCCTCTCATCTTGATCTCCCAAAGTGCTGGGATTATAGACATGAGCCATTGTGCCCAGCCTGATTTTTTTTTTTTTTTGAGTTGAAGTTTTACTCCATCGCCCAGGCTGGAGTGCAATGGCAGCTCACGGCCACCCCAGCATCGACCTGCTGGACTCAGACAATTCTTCCGCCTTAGCCTTCCAAGTAGCTGGAACTACAGGTGTGCACTGCCACGCCCTGCTAATTTTTTATTTATTGTAGAAATGAGGTCTCACCAAGTTGCCCAGGCTGTTCTCAAACCCGTGGGCTTAGGCAATCCCTCACTTCAGTGTCCCAAAGTGTTGGATTACAGGCTTAAGCCATTCAACCTGGCCTGATTTATTTTTTTTAACATGCACTTTTCTACACTTAAATATGCATCAAAATTATGCCAAAGTCAACATGCTTTTCAGAAATTTCTGTTGGGCCTTGACTTTTCCTCTCTGTAGTCCTCTGGCCCTTCTCAGGTTCTCTCTCCATATTAGTGGCTCTTAAAACCTAGAGAAGTCCATAAAACACTAGAGTACCTCTTGTAGTGGAACCCACCAAACACATCATCAGGGCAGGTTAGCTCCTAGGGATTTATAGAGCAACAGTGAGGCCAACAACCAAATTTTGTAACTAGCGACAGAGACCAACTCAGCATGCCACAGTGACCATTGATTCCAGCCCTGTCTCCCATCCAACCCAATCTAGTCTTCTCACACGTTCCAGTATTGGAAGAGCCAGCAAGTGTAAGTTCATATAGTAACTGTGTGTTAAGTGGTATTGGTCACAGGCTGAATATGAAGGTTTCTTCTCACAGGTCACTTGGGGTCTAGTTGGGGAGACAAATAATAGTGTGTGTGTGAGACTGAGACTAGGAAGAGAAGGCTTCACAGGGGATTTAGTACTTGAGGACTTCCCTGAACCTTGGTGATGAGAGGGAGCTTGCAAAGTGGGGCAGCGCATGCCTTTCTAAGCATGAAACAGAATTGAGATGCAAGAAAGTGGGTTAGGAGCTCGTCTCAGTCCATTTGGGCTGCTGTCACACAATACCACAAACTGGGTGACTTATTAACAGCAGAAATATATTTCTCATAGTTCTGGTGGTTGGAAAGTCCAAGGTCAAGGTGCCCATAGATTCGCAGGCTGGGGAAGGCCCACTTTCTCAGTGTATTCACGTGGTGGGAGGGGCAAAGCAACCATTTGGGCTTTTCTTGATAAGGGAACTAACCCCATTAGTGAAGGCTCTGCCCTCTTGACTTCATCACCTCCCCAGAGATCCCGCCTTCTAATACCATCATATTGGTGATCTGGTTTTATTTATTTGTTTGTTTGTTTGTTTTTGAGTTGGAGTCTCACTTTGTCATCCAGGCTGGAGTGCAGTGGTATGCTCACAGCCACCACAGCCTCGACCTTCTGAGTTCAGATGATCCTTCTGCCTCAGCCCTCCAAGTAGCTGGAACTACAGGTACATGCCTAAATAATTTTTTTTTATTGTAGAGACATTCCCTGGGTGTAAAGTCATTGCTATATATCCCTTGAGGGGCAACATTACCCTTCTTAAGAACCACTAGGGTAGAAGAAAGGAAATGGGAGAACACCAGGCCAGTTTTTGTACAGTCAAGATACAAACTACTTAGAGAAAAGCCAGAATTAAAAAGGTGTTTAGTTGCCTGTGTTGAACATGGGAGACCTGTAGGGTGCCTCTGGAGATGTTGAATAAGCAATTGCATATATGGGTTTTGTATTTTGTTTGTTTTGAGTCAGATTCTCACTCTATTGCCCAGGCTGGAGTGTAGTGAGTGGATCACAACTCACTGCAACTTCAACCTCCTGGGCTCAGGCTGTCCTCCCACCTCAGCCTCCTAAGTAGCTAGAATTATAGGCACATTCCACCATGCTCAGCTAATTTTTTTTTTTTTTTTTTTGTAGAGATGAGGTCTTACTATGCTGCCCAGGCTGGTCTCAAACTCCTGGGCTCAAGCAGTCCTCCAACTTGGCCTCCCTAAAGTGCTGGGATTACAGACATGAGCTGTTGTGCCCAGCCAGAAGCAGTTGTGTATATGGTTTTGTAGCCCAATGAAGATATTTGGGCTGAAGTACAGATTAGAAACAGACTCAGAAAAATTAGTGGCATAGGTACATCTACAAAGGACAGCATTGTTTTTCCAGGTTGGAGACAGAAAACCATTTCAGTGATGTATTACTTTGAAACTAGGTTTAACACATTAGATACATTTACACTGGTAAAGGAACTTAACTCTCTTCTGAACTATTTCATCTCTAGATGAGATTTTCTTAAACCCGTTGGCAGTTTCAGAATTATTTCAATCTTCTTCCTTAAGTTTGTGAAGTTTTTGTGAAATTTCTCTATGACTACCTTGTACAAAATGAAGAAACCCTTGTGATTACTCAAGTAATCATTCTGAACTCGGAATAAAGACGTATTTACTAAAGCTCTTCAGGAAAGTTTTGAAAGGACATAGCATGAATTTAATATACTCAGTGAGCAGCCATTTTAACATTGCCTAAATCATGTTTTTGTAGCAGTTCAATTAATTTACCCTCCCATCATTAGCCAAGGACAGAACCATTTCTCAGAGGTAGCAGTTGATAATTGTTTACAACCCCCCCAACTTATTTTATTGTAATTAGCTTTTCTATTTCAAGTATTTGCTTCTACCCATAAGACCCAAGTTAACCTAATCAGCCCTTCGTGACCTACATGACACAGACCCCACCACCATAGCAGCAATCTTGTGACTAATCCACCCATCTGCCTGCTGTCCATCACCTGACATCAGTACCTGCGCTTATCTGCTCCTTCGTGATGATGTGGAGCAGACCACCACCCAATCACTTTAACGACCTTTCCCCCATCAAAGGGAGGGATTAAAAGGACTCAACCACAAGCAGCCAGTCACCATTGCCTTACTAGACTTTGTTGTGGCTATGTGCTTTTTAAGCTAAGGCCATTGCCATGTTTCCTAACTTTGGCCCTTTTTCCACTACTTTGGGGAAGTGAATCTCCTCTCTCTCTCTCTCTCTCTCTCTAACTTTTTCAATAAACTACATTTTCCAATCAAACTTGTGTGGAATTATGTGCATCTTTCACATGGCACCGGGTCACACCAGAAATCCCACCCCTGGCAGACCTGACCTAACATTCTGGAGGCCTCATTGGGAGTGTGACCTAACAAGTTTCTTATAGCTACCAGTCCCCAAAATCTTCACCAGATCCCTATTACTTATTTATTATCTCATGAAGGATGAAATAAATATGAGCATAGTTAGGTATTACGATTTTAAGCTGGGAATGATGGTTTACACCTGTAATCTGAACACTTTGGAAGGCTGAGGTGGGAGGATAACTTGAGGCCAAGAGATTCTTCGAGATTCTTGGGCAACACAGTGAGACCCTGTCTCCAAAAAAAAAATTAGCTCAGTGTGTGCCTGTAGTCCCAGCTACTTGGTAGGCTGAGGCAGGAGGATCACTTGAACTCAGAAAATCAAGGTTGCCATGGGCCATGATTGCACCACTGCACTCTAGCCTGGGCAACGGAGTGAAACCCTGTCTCTAATGATGATTATAATAATATTTGTAAATGTAAATATAAATATCTGAACATTTAAGAGAACAAACTGCAAGAGATAGCTAGCAGGCCCCAAAAGATTTTTGTTCCCCTT